GGATACTTGAAGATTACACACCATTTTTTCAAAAATAAATAATAAAAAAGAAAAAATTGTACTCAGATTTCTTAAAGTTTATCACTTAATCACTCAAACTTTCTGATATTTAAAATATTATACATAAACCTTTTAAGGTTTGTACGTGCGTAACACTTAAATCTCTACCGTCAATGTCGATTTGTGTATCTGTTAGTAAATTACATCTACACCCCATAAAGTTTATAAACGGATAATACTTAGGTCCCTTAAATTTAAGATATTATATTTAGATCAAAAATACTTCAATTAAAGATAGAATATCAAATATTATAATCTTTACAACTAAAATTCATGTTCGATTCATGCTAATTAAATTTTATTTTTTTTACGTATTAAAATTCGAGCCTATTAAAAAAAATTTATGTATTAAAATTCTAACTAATTTGAGTTCAACCTGAGCCGTTAGTGCCGATTAAAATTCGATTCGATTAAAATTTATATTTTTCTACTTATTAAAATTCGTGTCAATTAAAATTCGATTTAAATTTATTTACAGTGATGTGCAATAACTAAATAGTTCAGTCTTAGTTGAAGTCAGCTAGGAGTCTGTAACCATAAGAACGCGAAAAGGTTAGTATACCCACGTTATCTGGGACAATAAGTTATCGCCACTATCATTGTCACCATTGTTATGTCGACTCCAACACTATTGTGTCGTCGCCCCCCACTAACATTGTGTCGTCGTCATTGCTACCACCATTGTGTTGTCGCCACCAACGCACCAACTTCGCCATTACTACCTCCACCACCACCACCAATATGATGATAGTAGTAGAATAAGGTAGTTGCGAAAAGATATTTAAATAAACGGGAAAAATTATAATAATTATAATTTTTAAACTTCAGTTATTTATATTTCTTAAACAGTTTGATTCAATTCAATATTTAAATTTCAATTAATACCAAACAGTCTGCGAATTAAAAAATTTAATATTTAGCACTTCAAATTCAACATTCAGTTTTCAAAGTTTTACTCTCAATGTTATCAAATACCATCTTATTCCTAACTCTTTTTTCCTTTATTTTTCCATATCAAAAATAGTTAGAATATGTGCATAATAACGGCCAAGAATCCAATCTAGTAGGATAAATTTTTCATAAAAAATATTTAAAATTGTGTATTATGTAGGTAATGGTACACAAAAAAAAATGCAAAAAATAAATACTGAACAGAACAACAGATATTTAATTTTGGACTACATTACTATCTTTTTTTTTTTTTTTTTTTAGATTGAGAGTTAAATAAATAAATTTAATCTTTAAAGCATGTAAATAAAAATTTAAATATCTGTTGGGCTATACACTGTCATTCCCCTTATTTTTCATAGATAACATGAATGAAGGGAGTGGGATCTTCTTCCATATATTTTTAGATAAATTTCATTCACATCTTTATAATTATTCATATATATGCAACGACACCCCTCGTTTCTTCTAAAATTTCACTAACACCCCTAATCAGAGATTGTCTGTTAACAAATAAGGTCATTTTACATAAATGCCCTTACGTATATCAAATAGCATTTATTAATTTTTAGCGAACTTTGTTCGTATATTCAATGACACCCTTTACTTTTTATTCATGAAACCCTTAATTAACTGTAGTTAAGTTACTTAGTCGAACATATTTAATAAACCCAACCCAACCCAACCCAACCCATGACTCTTGACCATTCTCATTCCCATCTCCACCGTGTCTTTGATTTCAATTAATTCCACATACAACTCATTTCTGACATGCTTTATTCCATATTGCTCATCTTGACGGAGCATTGGTACAAGTACAATAGATATGGGATTACAAAAATATTTACATGATCGTCCTTTGGCGGGCTTCTCCGATTTGATAAACTTAATCACAATTTTTTATGACAATAACATTAGTTAGAAGTAAATCTTATATCGATATTTTTCTCTCCTACATTTCTGCTTTCACCAAAACTAGATGAAGAAGACATTGAATCCTAACTTTAACAACGTCATCAATCTAGATATATTGTAAACAAAATTTAAAAAATTCATCAATGGATTAAGCGAAAAAACAAAAAAGAAAAACTCTCACAAAATCTGGATATATGAGAAACAAACAAAAAAAAAACTAAAAATTCATCCTAAAATCCATCAATGGATTAAGCAAAGAGAGAAAGAGGGGGAAAAAACTTCCAAAATTTGGATATATTACAAACAAAAAAAATAATTTTAAAATTCATCCTAAAATTCAGCAGTGGATTAAGCCAAAAAAAAAGCGAAAAACCGCACAAAATGAGGCAGAGGTTTTACCTAGCATAAATGAAAACTTCATTACATCTTCACACCTTCGTTCTTTCTTCACAAACTTGGTTTTCTTCAAGCAGGTGACCAAGTTATAAGCTGGTGCAATTAAAGGGTATCTTCGACATAAAATACAAAATTTAAGTCATCTTTTCCACTTTTCAGCTTGTCAGAGACCGATGTTAACGACAGAAGGTGTCATTGATTCAATAGTAGAATCTACAAAAGGGTGTAAATGAAGTTTACAATATATTATCTCTTCAATTTTTTGTTTTGACAAATCACTCATCATAAATTCAAGTAAGACTTGTATATACAAATGGATACTCACTCATTAATGGTCATGATTCACTAAAAAAATACTATATTTTATGAAATCTGAATCGGAACGGTATACCTAGGTTTGTTAATCGTGTCGAGTGAGGTGTGTTCGTGTCGGGTCTTAGCGTATTATGTCAGAAAATATTCTACTTATATCCAATTTTTTTATTAATTTGTGTCTAACGAATAGTGTTCATATCGTATATAAATCGTGTATAACTAACAAATAAATAAATTGTGTCATATATTTTCTTTTTCTTTAATTTCACATATACTCAATTATTTTATTAATTGTTTCGTGTCGTGTCGTGTTTATTTATTTATCAAGAAAGTGGCTTAAACAAAATTTAAATTCTTTAATTTTATATCGTATTTATATTATATTAATAAGTTAGGTAATATTTTAATATCCCTAAATGTACCTGGTCAGTTTTTAAAAAGGTCAAATGCTAGGGAAATTTTCTGGCATCCTCCTTAATTAGGGGCGCTAATAAACTCTGTGGTCTGTAGATTAAAGTTAAAAAATAATTAATTTCTCAATTTAATAACAACTTTAAATAAACACACCAATTCTGCGTATTGAGATTTGATAAAAAAAAAAATAATGTTAAATGACCTTAAAAATTATACTTGATAATTTTAATTATTAAATAAATAAGTGGGTCTTAAAAAATACAAGACTTATTAATTATTAAATCTATTTTTTAAGTTTAGGTAATATTAATTTTAAAAAAAAATAAACTTTTTCTTGTCAACGTCTCGCTCAAAGCCACCATTAAATTCGTCTCTAGTCCCCACTACTCATTCTAGCGCGTGAAAAAACACAATCCAAGTAAATTGTACAACTAAATATACGCGCTTAGGATGCTCTTATGAAAGAAAAATTCTCCATCTATAATGTCGTGTATCGCAGCTCACGGGTTTAGTATCAGCATCAATCTGTACCATAGAATTGATTGAGACAAGTAATTTTAACACGGGTTAAACGGCCAAAAGGTACGGAAACACAAAACGCGTAAATGCAACCGTCACTACAAGATCTCCGGCTACTTGACAAACATTACAAACATGGCCCTTCCAGCCTGGCATTGGCTCGCATTATTCCCCCCATCCCATTCAATCAATATCATGGTCCCACCACCCAACTGTATATATCCAACATTTTTCTTTAAAAAAGTATTGTTTTAGGCCTAAAAATTTATCTTATTTATTAACTTAATCAATTATAATTAGTATTAAAAATTGAGTCAAATTTTACGAGTTCGAATCGAACGCGTCAAGTTTTTTCTTTTTTGAAACGAGCTAGAAAAAATTATTCAAGCAAGACTCATTTTTTGAGTCGAGCCAAAAAAATGAGTCACACTGGAGTAATTCAACTATTTTATATATAAATGAGTACAGTTTTAAAGTTCGAACGACATTTTTTATGTTCGTTTTTCTAAACAAATTTAAAAAATTGTTCGAACTCAGTTTATAAATCTTATATCAATTAAATTTGAGTTAAGCCCGAATAACTTAACTCGATTATCAATCTTAAAAAAATTACAATTTCAATTTCAATTAAATTAATAACAATAATTAATTAGATCAACAAATAAATCAAGTTAACATTCACACTATTTAATCCAATTAAAATTCTCATCATCCGGTAAAATCCACAAAATCAAATTCATCTCAAACATGCACATCCCATCTCTAATACCCTTTATTTAAGCTTGACCAACATGTAATCATCAAAATTTATCAAAAACAAATATGTTAATTTTTAATTAAATTCCCAATTATCCATGTGTCATTAAAAAAATATCAAGAGATACTAGTACATTTTTTCCTATTTTATTCACCTCTCCTTTCCAAATGTGAAGATTTTTTAAAGATTTTCAAAAATTTAAGATAGTCCGAATTTATTTATGTGGATAGATTTTTCACCATGCAAAAGAAATGGAAAAAACTACATTATCATGGTAAATATTAAATCAAAACTTGCAACTTAATAGAGAATAATTATAAGTCTTTTGAGGTTAAATTTCAATCAAACAAGATGATAAGGTATGAGTCAATGAGATTTAGTTACAATTACAAAAAAGTAATAGGGTCGATTTTAAAAGATGGAGCCCAAATATTCTCATATCTTTACTTAAATTAAATTGTGAGTAAATTCTTATTTTTTAATAATTTTTAATATTATATTAAAATTTTTAAAAAATTAATAACATAATTTTATTCACCATAAATCATGTGTCTCTTCAAATTATTAAGACAATTATAATTCTTGATAAATACTCAAGTGCTATTTGCCCAAAAAAAATAAATAAATAGACAGTGCTATAAATCATTTTTTATCTTAAACTACACATTCACCATCCCATGAATTCATTTGACTTCGACTCTTCTTATCTTCACATGACCACATTACCACCGAGATAAATACTCCACCACCATGCCACCCTATCCCCACCACCTAGCCACCACCATCACCACCCTCCTCCTCCTCATAGTCCTTACCCAACATTCCCAAGTTGCTTCAACCACCACTGGAGACCTCCCAAAATTCAGAGAAGCTCCGGCATTCCGAAACGGCAAGGAATGTCTCAAACCCACATGGCCAACCCAACCAAACGACCCATCTACAATACACATAGCTATGACCCTCGACACCACCTACCTCCGCGGCTCCGTCGCCGGCGTATTCTCCGTCCTTCAACACGCCACCTGCCCTGAAAACACCGTCTTCCACTTCCTCGCCGCCCATCGCCGCCGTGACCTCCACCACACCATCCTCACCACCTTTCCTTACCTCAATTTCCACCTCTACCACTTCGATACCAACCTCGTCAAAGGCAAGATCTCCTCATCCATCCGCCGAGCCCTTGACCAACCCCTCAACTACGCTCGCATCTACCTCGCCGACCTCTTACCCTCCACCGTCAATCGAATCATCTACTTCGACTCCGACCTCATCGTCGTCGACGACATTGCCAAACTCTGGACCATCAACCTCAACAACCACGTCCTCGGAGCTCCAGAGTACTGTCACGCAAATTTCACCCACTATTTCACTTCAAAATTCTGGTCAATCCCTCAATTTTCCCGAACCTTTAAAGGTCGAAAGCCATGTTATTTCAACACGGGTGTGATGGTAATAGATTTGCTAAAATGGAGAAGCCATGGATACACACAGAAGCTCGAACAATGGATGAGGATTCAGAAGAGTAATAGAATATATGAACTGGGTTCTTTGCCACCATTCTTGCTAGTTTTTGCTGGGAATGTTGAAGGGGTTGAGCATAGGTGGAACCAACATGGGCTTGGTGGTGATAATCTTGAAGGTTTGTGTAGAGATCTACACCCTGGTCCGGTAAGCTTGTTGCATTGGAGTGGGAAGGGCAAGCCATGGCTGAGACTTGACTCCAAGAGACCGTGTCCGTTGGATAGTCTTTGGACACCGTACGATCTATTCCGGCATGCACCGTTGTTCTCCGACGATTGATGATGCGTAGGATCACAACAAACTCATGACACGGGGATCCAGTTGTTCAGAATAATTGAGGAGACAAAAAAAATGATGAGGTGAAAAGACGCTAAAGGACAACATAACGCGGAATGGTGATGTGGGTAAAGGGTAGAATGTGGTACATATTTGGAATTTTCAGTCCGGTTTGTTATTCACAAAATTTGTGGGAATGTTACTGTCCATTAAAGTGGATTTTCGGTGGCGGTGCATTGTTTGTGGTGGTTGGGTTTGTTAAGATTCGATGCCAATCTTTGTCATGGTGTCGCTACTTTTTTTGTTATTTGTTGGTGAAAGCTGTCCAAGGTGTAGGCTACCCTTTCATTTACTTTTTCAACTACTTTTGTTGTTGTTGATATTGTTTATTATTAATTCAATATATTCATGTTGTTTGATTTAATATTTGTAATTACTTTCTCTCCTTTGTTTAGTCTGATGTTCCTTGGATTCCAACTGGTCTGTTTCTCTGAATAGTGGCGTTCAAATTGTGCAGTTATTTTTTTCCTGGTCAAACATAATTACGGGGAATCGATGACGACAATAATATTTGAACCCGCGACTTTAACCAGTCGTTTGGTAAGGGGGACAAAAATATGTAACTATAGAAAGTGAGAGTTATACATTTTCAACCATTCAATAGAAAATTTTTTCTTTCTCTCCTTTGTATTTGTTGATAAGAGATAAGAGGGGTGAAATAAAAATATTAGACATCTTGTAAGAAATATTCAATTGAACAGTGACAATGCATTAATAATGTGATGGGATATCACTTTCCAATAAGTCGAATGCATACTCTACCACAAACTCAAAAAACATCAGCTGTGTCTATTGTGCAAGTATGGTGTAACGACACTAGATTTGTGTTGTGTTGGTCTGTTTGATATAATTTTTCATCTCTCTCTCTCTCTAACTTGTATGAATCAAATTGGAACAAATTTACGCTGTAATAGTAGTGGACTTCGGTTGAATTTATTTGATGCAATGTTCTAGACAAACATATATAAATTTATGTATTTAATTCGAAGGAAATAAAGTTTTAATTATCTACATAATGGATAAAAAGTGACAAAGAAATGAAAATCAAAAGCTAAAAAGTATTCTTAATTTTAAAAACTTATAAGGTATTTTTGTCCATAGAAATTCAAACTACAGTCAAAACAAAGGTGATTCAAGTTCAATCTTCCCCTTTTTGGATGGATTATCAACGGAAGACATTCTTTTTCTGTTTCTCTCTTCTTCATTCTTCCATTTCTGTGTCAATCTTTCATGGTATCAGAGCTTGAATAGAGACCTACGTCTCAACAATGGCAGATCAGTCCTCAAGCTCAATCTGTTCGTCTAGTTCAATCGATTTCTCAAGCTCTAATTTATCTTTTATCGAATATCTGCAACTTGATTTCACTTGGGCTTAACTCTACAAATTTTGTGCAATGGAAATTCCAGATAAGTTATTTGCTTAGAGCATATTCACTGCTCCGATTTGTTGATGGATCTTTCGAGATTTCAGATAAATATACTGGAGCAATTGTTAGTGCTGAGATTAATCCTGAATACACTACTTGGATAGTACAAGATCAAGACCTTGATTAATGCAACTCTATCTTCAAATGCAATCTCTCCTATCATTGGTAATACTCCTTCTCATGAAGTTTGGAAAGCTCTCAAACATCACTCATTGGATCTAAATCAAATATTTTAAAACTTCAATTCGTACCAAATCTAATTCAATTTTTCTCCAAGAATTGCTAGTTATTCTCAAAAGTCTTCTCTTTGTCTTGCAGCTAGTTGTATAGTTTTGCTTTAGTTCCCTCCAATAACTTGTAATTTGTAAATATTGACATGAAATCTCCTTTTCTAACAATCACTTGGATGGAGAGGCATACCTGTTTAATATAAAAGAGTCATGCAAATTAATAGTAATTTTATCAGACCAAGTGCATTGAGATGTATTTTGCAAAGTTGACCACAAATTACATTGGGCCCAGGTTAAACATTAAATAATGTTGTAAGTCTTTAGCCAGACTTTTTCCCAACCCAAACCCAATTGTTGATGCAATTTATGCTTGGGCCCATTTTAAGGCCCCAAAATTATAGAATCTGCAGAAACCAAATTAGTCTTTGCATCAGTAAGTGGGTCATGCATATCATAAGAGGATAGTAGGTGACTAGTTATGCGAATACATTGCATTTTTTCTGACCCGAATTCGAATTAAATAAAAAAAATTAGTAATAAAAATAAAATAAAAATTTCAGAATGGACTTAACTACCAAATAAGATTATTAATATTAGGACCTAATGACACATGTTTAGTGTCGTAAATAGGACCAATACCCATTTATCACTTAATTTTATCATATATTGAAATATTTATATTTTTTATTCCAATTACAATAATAAATAGTGGATTTTAATTCACATTATTTATTAAAATAATAAAACGAATTTGTATCAAAAGAAGATACAGGGCCACGTTACCTCTTGTTTTTGATCAGCCCATCACTATTCTCTCTGGCCTGGCCCAATAAGGGGAGACCAACGTGTCATTCGTGGCCAACATTAGCCACCAATCCAGTCGAGCCTTTCCCTCCACAAAAAATACCTAAAATAACCGTCATTATAAAACGGAAAAGAACAAAAATAAAAATAAAAATAAAAATCAAAGGGTGTACGTGTGTCTGAAATTGTGTGTGCGTCTCAGAGAGAGAGAGAATTTGCTGATAGCTTTTTCTTCCAATTGTAACTGGTAAGATTGTAGCTGTTGCTATGGCGACAGTTGCCACAGGTGGGGGACTAGGAGGAGTGAAGCTCCACACTCTTAACCACAAACCAGTATCTTCATTTCTGGGTAAGAAGCTCGAGCTCAAAACCTTACCAAAATCAATACCATATAGAAAAATTCCCAGTTCAAAGTCCAAATCACTTGTAGTTTCGGCTTCTGGAGTCGAATGGACCCATTTTGTTCATGATCTTTTTGTGGGTGTTGGGGTTGGACTTCCATGTACAGTTATGGAGTGTGGGGATATAATATACAGAAGCACACTGCCCAAATCAAATGGTCTCACAGTCACTGTTCCCGGAACGATTTTAGCTTTGGGTACTCTGTCTTACCTCTGGGCTACCCCTGGTGTGGCTCCTGGCTTCTTTGATATGTTTGTTCTTGCTTTTGTTGAGAGATTTTTCAGACCCACTTACAGGAAGGTATGTTAATTGCTCTAGTTTGTCATTTATTGTTTCTTTCATTGGTGGTAATGGGAATTTTGTGGTGCTTTGGATTTGAAGTTTTGTTGTGTGATGACAGAATGATTTTGTATTGGGGAAGAAGTTGGGGGAGGGAGCTTTTGGAGTGGTTTACAGAGCTTCCTTGGCTAAGAAGCCCTCTAAGGTAAGCTGTGTTTGACAAAATTCCTCTTTGAATTTTTTGTTTCTCAATGTTTTTGTTTTTGTTTTTATTTGGGGGTTTATTCTCATATGTTATGAATTAGCACTGGTGCCTGAAATGAAGATAAGATTGCATTCGGGACTTCAGTCATTTAAATGTTTGGACTATTTATCCATAGTTCAATAATCCAGTCAACTAGTGAGCTGTTTAAACTTGGGAAATTCCATGTTTGAGTAGGGATTAATAGGTATATATGATATGCACTTTATTTGTCTATTTGTGAAATGCGTGGTTAACATCCCTAGGAGTTGTTTTGGAATTTGATGACTGCATAGTAATATATGGTTTTTGGTGTTTGCTAAAAGGAAGGTGATTTAGTCTTGAAAAAGGCTACTGAATATGGTGCAGTGGAGATTTGGATGAATGAACGCGCGCGAAGGGCTTGTGCAAGTTGCTGTGCTGACTTTGTGTACGGCTTTCTTGAGGTGTTTCTCGATAATGTCTAGTACTGTTGTCATATGAATTAAGGGTATCTTTTTCGCCAGGAATGAAGATATTAGATTAGCTTCATGAACTAATAATATACACGAGTTAGTTACTGCTGTCTTATTAAAGTCAGTTCATGTAATGATATCAGAGTTCTTCAAAGAAAGCAGGCGAATATTGGCTCATATGGCGGTTTGAAGGGGAAGCAACACTGGCAGATTTGTTTCAGAGTAGAGAGTTTCCCTACAATGTTGGTACTTTCTCTCATTAGAGATTTTGGCAAAATTTCAGATATTATTCTAACATTTTGCAATACAGTTGTCTTAATTACAGTTTCTGTTTTGAAATCAAACTACCAATGCTTCCTTTGAAAAGTTGGAGACTTATGTGGTCAAGTTTGTTTTTATTAATGTGATGTAACTGTTTTATATGTTGATCAATTACGAAGCTGAGAGAGAGTCAAATGTATCCTCACCCAGTCACTGGCTGATTGCCTCATTTTTGTAGTCAATTCCTAGGAAATGTATGAGCTGGTTTTGCTTTAAAATCCAATCTCATGATGACTACATATTGTCAGGTTGAAGCAATTATTCTTGGAGAGGTCCAGGACTTGCCGAAGGGGTTGGAAAGGGAAAATAGAATCATTCAGACAATCATGAGACAACTCCTATTTGCATTGGATGGTCTTCATTCAACGGGGATTGTCCATAGAGATATTAAACCACAAAATGTTATTTTTTCTGAAGGTAATTGCAGCATGTTCATAATAAGTTGATAACATGTTAGCTGATATCTTCTGTTAACAGAGTGAATGATCTCTCTCCTGATTAAAACTGAAGCAGGTACTCGTATATTCAAGATCATTGATCTTGGAGCTGCAACAGATTTGCGAGTGGGCATCAATTACATTCCAAAAGAGTTTCTATTAGATCCAAGGTATCTATCTTTTTCCCCTGGAATTAGCCAACTTCTTACCTAAATCTGTTTCCCTGTATTTGCATCCTCAAGGTCATCATCTTTGAGCTGAATAAATAAACGAGTAGTGGGATTTTGAAGCCAACTGCCTTGAAGTTACAACAATAACGACATGGGATAATGAAATACTGTTTTCTTTCCAGTGCTATCGTATTGTCATCACTGATTGTTTCCATCTTTTGTGTTAATACTTAGAATGTACATGAATTCTAATCATTTATTTCAACTCATTATGTGGAGTACTTGGGGGAGTACACTTTAAAGGCATGTTTTGGAAACTAGCATATCTTTTCCATTGACTTAGTTTTAGGGCAGGAGTTCTGACATCAGTTGTCCTGATAAGAGGTAAGTAAGTACTTGACAAGCACAGTATGAAAATTTTACTCTACATTATCACAGATATAGACTAGTTGGAATACCTGCAGAAGTAATCCTAGGCAATATATCTATTAAAAAGCGTTCAAGACGAATTTCGGAGTAGTAGTCACAGATCCAGAAAAACGAGTGCAGTGAGCTGCACAATATTGAAACAAAATGAAGTATAAGGCATTCATTACAATTCTTAGAAGGATCAGCAAAAGCAGAGAAATTGGGCTATAGTTAGAGAAAACACCACTAATCATGTCATAGTTACATTTACACACAGCATTGGTCTAAAATACTCCTGGAAGTTCATATTTTGCACCATCCAGTTTTCTTCTAGTTTGACGGGATGATCTGGCAGCTTAAAAAGTTGCAAAATCCAGGAGCTGGTTCGATTCACGCGTCAACCATTTGTCCTGGTGGAAACCTTGTTGGCATTATTTTCAGATTGACGTAAAAAGCCAAACCATTGAAGTAAAAATATAACCCTCGTGGTTCGAAGTATTTATTTATCTGGATTCTGGCATGTCATACTCAAATTGTTTCAGATTTTTTACATGCTAGCTCGAACCTCTTTTCCTTAACTGACTGTTAACATAATTCTTAGTTTCCAACCCGACTGAGATTCAGAATTTTACTTCAATTAAATTTCATATCTTTCTGAACTTTTTGTACATTCCCATACAGATATGCTGCACCTGAGCAATACATTATGAGCACACAAACTCCCTCTGCACCCTCAGCTCCTGTGGCAGCAGCACTTTCCCCAGTTCTGTGGCAGGTGCTATGCTTTATCGACAAACTATCCTTAGGTTGACTTCTTAGAGAATTAGCTTTCTGTATATGTTTCTGATGATAAAACTCTCTAACAGTTGAATCTACCAGATCGATTTGATATCTACAGCACAGGTCTCATATTCCTACAAATGGTGAGTAGCAAAAACCTGTCATTCGGCTCTGAGTATCCCCACTAATCAACTTATTTTTGGAGAAGTCATCAAAACATTACTATAGCGCTTTCTAACTGTCAGTAAAATTATCGTATAAGCTGTTTGTTACAACTTCATCCAATTTCAAATTGAGTCCTAAAATTCAGAACACTTTATCCCATTCAAGTATAGGGAGATTTATATCGGCAAAATTTAAAGTAGAGCTAAAATGTTGGAAGCCTGGAATGGCTGCAGTCAGATGACAGTTTTCTAGAAGTTTCGGTTAAACTTGAAACAATTGTTAAGTGCTATTTTATAGGATTAACTGGTAAAATATTGATTGTTTCTGCATTATTTATTTGGTAAGGATTATGCAATCATTTGTGTTGACACTCTGGCTTTTTTCTTCTGACAGGCGTTCCCAGGACTACGCACAGACAGTAATCTCATACAATTCAACCGTCAGCTAAAGAGATGTGAGTATGATTTGGTTGCGTGGAGGAAGACAGTAGAGCCTCGTGCCAGCCCTGAACTCCGTAGGGGTTTTGAGTTGCTAGATTTAGATGGTGGAATCGGATGGGAACTTCTAACGTCAATGATTCGGTTTAAAGCACGACAAAGAGTCAGTGCAAAAGCAGCTCTGGCCCATCCCTACTTCGATCGAGAAGGTCTGTTGGCTCTGTCCATCATGCAGAACCTAAGGCTGCAATTCTTCCGAGCTACACAACAGGATTATGGGGAAGCTGCTAAATGGATTACTCAGCTAATGGCAAAGTCAGGAACAAAGAAGGATGGTGGCTTCACTGAAGCACAGCTTCAGGAGCTCAGAGTCTGTATCTAATCAAAACCACCAGTAGTAACGTTCATTTGCATTGTTCATACAAAGTGTTTCTTATCGCTTCTCTTAACTTATGCAGGAAATCGTACCCAAGAAGAAGGCTAGTGCACCGAGGAATGCTCTGGCATCAGCCCTTCGCCTTCGGAGGAAGATTATACGGACGATAAATGAGAGTGTGGATGAGCTTAATCAACGCAGGAAGAGCTTATGGTGGAGCAGGTGGATCCCCAGAGAGGAATGAAGTGCTTTTGTTTTTGTAAATATACACAATTAAGTTATACTTTTGTGTAAATTTTGTGCAGCCATCAATACTAAATAAACTGATGGAATGAAATGATGTTTAGTAGGGAGAAGCATTAGGCTGTATCTGAGAGAGATGTACTTGGAATGTTTCACACACACTTTAGAGGAAACTGAAGTGTATGAATACACATATATATATATTCTTGCCAGCACCATCACCACTATTACTACTGCCATAACTACCAACTCTAACACCAACACCACCACCACCACTACTACTACGTGTACCACCATCCTTGTCACTTTTACTATCACCATTCCTCCACCGTTGCCAATACTCACCACCATCGCTACTGCTGCCATCGTCACCCTGTCACCGCTGTTACCCTATTACCACCACCCACCTTTGTCTACACAACCACTACACCATATATATCTGGTTTCACCCTACTACTGCCACCACCATTACCAACACTATTGCCACCTTACAGCCACCACAACCCTCATTGCCCCTCACCACCCACATAACCACTGCCACCATCACCATCATCATCGTCGTCCCCATTACCACCACCAGTATCATCGTTGTCATTATCACGACCAACACTATCATCCCTATTACTACCACTCTACCACCAACGCCTACCTTTGCCCCCACTACCACCACCATTACTCCCCTATATCTGCCGACTGCCGCCACCAACCACCCCCCGTTACCGCCACCCCTACACATATCACCCCTCGCTAGTACTTCCATCAATAGCCCTACCACCACCTCCCACCTTCGCCCCCAACATCACTACCGCCATTCCATCACCCTACCTCAACACCTACCCACCTCCATTATTGCATTTAGTATGCCTACATATCTCTTCACCACTTCCCATCACCACCAACCAACCTCAACATTTATTGTCATCTTCATACTCCATTATCACTCTTCAACGTCGTCAATATTCCATCACAACGACCACTGGCAGCACCACTGTGACCAACTTTGCTCTTACCACCATCACCATCAGTCTAACCACTACTACCTTACGCCAATCATCATGGTGATGGTAGCAATGAAAGGGCAATGGTGAGATTCTGAAAAAAATAGTGGTGGTAGGAATAAGGTAATTTCAGTGAGAAGGTAAAAGAAAATGACAAAATTAAAATAATAATAATTTTTAGATTCAAGCTTATTGCATTTGTCAACTAGATTGATTCCATTTAACATTTAAATTTTAATGGATATCAAACAATTTACAAATTAAAAAATTCAACATTTAATACTTAAAATGCATCATTTAGTTTTCAGTACTTAATTTTCAGTTTCATCACACACCACCTTAATTATGGAATTATCACTGGCACATTAGCTGAGTGCTACCATGAATGATGCAAAAGTAACAGACGCAGGATTATTGTGTTTCTTTATGGAAGAATAAACATACAATTATCTCAAATTCACGAGGAAAAAGGAAAGAAAAAAAAATCTCTAAAAATTTATCGATGAATGAATAAAAAATGTCCAAAACTCAAAGGCTTCGTGGTGCGCAAAAAACTATGATTCTTTCTAAATTAAAATCATTAAAAATAGAAACTTTAGAGGTAGCCTAATGATATAAGACCAATTATGAATGTTTCAATTTTTTAGAATGGAAAAATGACAATTTTGAAGGCCTAAAAGATAGAATTTAGCTAGAAAAAGAATATAAGTCTGGCCAAAGTGGGCCAAAGTGGTTGAGTATTGATCATTAAGTTATTTTCAAGTTTAAAGAAAATTAGATGATATAAGTCTCGCTTAATTCTAATTTTGTCGATCATTTTGTACTTATTATTGCTATTTTTGTCTAATATACATGTTTCTACGTGGTCATCCGTCTCATAAAATCTGATGGTGCATAAGTGGGTTGTCTAGTGTTTCAGACTACTGTTATTGTAGAGTCTTGTCAAATATAAAATGTACACCAATTTATCTTTACATTTAGAACAATTATTTTCGTAACTTGAATTAGAAAAATTATTTTCGTAACTTGAATTCGTAATAACGTTCAAGTTATTATTCTCTGCTACTATTTATTCTAAAATGAATAAGTACATTGAGTCACATGATCTGATTTGGCAGACTATTATTATCTCATAACTAGCAAAGTGACATACGCATTTTCGAGTTTTGGGATGCACGTGTTTTCTTCATATTAGCTGTCTTGGGAGTCAATAGCTCGGACACAGTGACGTGTTAATTGCTGTTTAGTACAGTAAACACACTGTCACTAACTCATAATCCACAGGTTTACAACGTTTATAGTCAGGAAAGTACATCAAATCCAATACACATTAAGAATACAACTGTGTTGCCATTAGAATCGTACAATTCACAGATGTTTCACATTAATAAAGTCGTTCAAAACCCTGTCTGTGCTCACCTATGATCAGTGGAGTAATAAAGAGACTTCAAGCTTTGACCTGGAAACTGAAGAAGCAAAGCATAGTGGGAAACTAGCAAAGTTTAAGGGTGCAGTTACTGGACATTCATAATATAGTGGTGGTCCGGACACTCTTGCCGTTGAACTGACATAAAAAAAGGGTGCAATTAGGCAGGCTGAGAGGTTTATTCGGGTTCAATTTTAGATATGATTTTTCTGTCAGAGATTAGTCGTATTAGATCTTTGACTCAAATCCATCAATCTAAGTACTGTATTAGTTTAGAGTTTTGAGCTCGTATAAGGCAATTAAGATTGTCATTGAAGTTCAGTTCAAGTTAAACTCACCCACGTACACAAGTTTGACTGAATTTTGAGTTGAACCCGAATTAGTGAATTTTATATTAGATTTAAGTTAGAGTCGCAAAAACCCAAGACCT